TGAGAAAAGGAATTTTTCATGAAAGTTAAGTAATAAATTCAAGAGTCTTTAGGAAAAAAAGGCTGTCTAAGTTGAGCTAGCTAAAGAGAAAAGGTATGAATATTCTTTCCACATTAATGCCTCAGAAACCACTTATCTGCAAAAAAACATGACAGATTGGATTTTCATGGCTAATTAAAAACACATACAGGTTTGACACCTCTGGGACTCTGGCAGCAGCGATTCTAATTTTGTGTCTCCCACCAATTTATATTCATGCACAATGAACATGACAGTGGTAGTCAGATTAAGCTGATTATTTTGTTAAGTCTCGAGTTGCATAAACAGCAAGGTTAGAGTAAAGGCAGGGTCACAGAAGTTAACCTCTTGAGACGCATTATCTCATAGTTCTAAATACACATATGACTGTAATAGATGAACAATAGAAAAATGACTTAGATGTGACTAATATTTTCCTGCTGTAGGAAGAAACAATAGCAAATCAGTCAATTCTTCCTCTCTTTTTTGCTTCTAAAATTAATTCTTATGTGTATATTTGAAGATTATGGACTCAATCATTAAAAGTAAAAAATATTCACAAATCAACAGATCAATGGATAACAAGAGTTAACACCAAAATAGATGTAAGGATATATTGAAAATTTACAATCTAGTAAAGGGAGTATTACTAACCAATGCATAAAAATTTTATTTTGCAAAAGGTATTAGGGAACGTACCTATTTGAAAGAAATTCTTATTAGATTTTCACCTCATGACAAAATAATTCCAGATAAATTGGACACAAAAACAAACTTTAACTATAAAACATACTAGGACTGAGTCTTACCATTCTTGCTTCTAAGGAACATTCTGGTTGTATTTCTTCTAAGACGGACTTGTTCATTCTTTTGGCAGTCCACAGTATATTTAATATTCTTTACCAACACCACAACTCAAATGTATCTATTCTTCTTGTCTTTTCATTGTCTAGCTTTTGCATGTATCTTAGGTGATTGAAAAGACCATGACGTGGGTCATCAAAGTGACATCTTTGCTTTTTAACACTTTGAAGAGGTCTTTTGCAGCAGATATGCCCAGTGCAATATGTTGTTTGATTTCTTAACTGCTACTTTCATAGGTCTTGATTGTGGCTACAAGTAGAATGAAATCCTTGACAACTTCAATTTTTTTCTCCGTGATCACAATGTTGTTTATCAATCCAGTTGTGAGGGTTTTTATTTTATGTTTAAGTAAAATCTATGCTGAAAGTTGTGGTGGTCTTTACCTTCATTAATAAGTGCTTCAATTTGTCTTCATTTTTGGCAAACAAGGTAATTTTCTGAAAAGTTGTTAATGAGTCTTCAATTTTGATGTTTCGTTCTTTTTTGTATAGTTTGACCTTCTAATATAGAAACTAGAACATGTTTATATTTAGGTGAGAAAGAGACAATAGTATCTAGTGTACAAGTAGAAGGGTTGCCTTTGTTCGTAGGAAGGCCATTTCCCAATGGAGAGGACAATGAGGAAGTGAGAAGGAAGTGTTGGATGGAAAATGTGGACAACATTTTGAAAATAAACTGCTTAAGAAGTGAAAAGAGTGGTGGAAGAAAGGAAGACAGTAGGCTATGAACAAATGAAAGGGGCATGCTATGTTTCAGTAGGTGGTAGCATCATGAAGTAGTGGCAATTGGCATTAACTTTATTTTGAAGTTTGGATTTTTGGAGGATGAAGGAAAAGAGATTTAGAGGCAACATGAAGAGCAAGCCCTAAGATAAGATAAACAAACAAACCCGAGTAGCTTGCTCAGGTGATAAGCCAGTTTTCTCTTGGCACTGAAAAGTTGATGGGACTTTAGAGAAGACTGAGAATAAAGGCTGCTAACAGATTTAGAGATTTAAGGGGTGGAGTGACATGGGTAGGCAGGATAGTGAAGAATGTGATAACAAATTAGATTCTGGAAGTCGACAGTAACTACTGGTAAGTTTTGAGGTGAAAAGTATTATAAAGCATGCTGGAATTCATTTTGGTACTCTCTTGTGGGTGAGTAAGTAGGGTAGGTCAACTGTTTAAGCAAAATGATGTAGCGTTTCACAAACTTTTCTCCTGCAAGTTGTGGTTTGGAAGTAGGTGGATTAGAATTGTTAATATTTCATTTGTGATTTTTGCACTAGTAGTCATAAACTATGGCTTATAGATTTCCTTACAGCATTATCAGTTAGTTTTGATCATCTCCTCTAAGAACAAGCTGAGATTTTTCCAAGGACCATCTGGTCTAGTGCATTTTGGAATATGGGGTGTCTTTAACTCGTTTTTCAATATCTTTTATGGTAACTGAGCTATTCAGATTTTCTGTATTTTCTTGTATTGAGTTTACTTATTCATACTTTTATAAGGAGCTCTGGTAGTGTAGTGATTATGAATCGGGCTGCGAACCTCAGGGTCAGCAGTTCAAAACTACCAGCTGTTCTCCGGAAGAAAGATGTGGTGTTCTGCTCCCGTAAAGATTTACAGCCTCGGAAACCCTGTACAGGGTCACTATGAGTCGGAACCGACTCCATGGCACATAACAACAACAAATGCTTTTATTGGTAGAAGGATTTTTTTTTTTTTCCTATTTGCGTTTTGTTTTGTCAGTTGCATGTTTAACCATTTTTCTCCATCCCGTTTCTGACCTAGTATCATTCCATTTGAAACTTTCAAAGGTTGTAGAGGAAAAGCGCATACAGGAGGTTTTGATGGTGAAGTGGCTAAGAACTGAAAAAATGAATTTAAAACCGATTCACTGCAAGAGGTTTGCTGTTGAGAACTTATCAACCAGCTCACTAGAGGTTTAGTTTTAATCCATGGAAAGGTTTGAGTGCTTTGTGACATATTGAACAAAGAGGAGAAATGGATAACCAAATTGTTTACAACTTTTGGTTGTCATAACGGAGCCCTAGTGGCAAGGTAGGATAAGCATTGAACTGCTAACTGCAGGGCCAACAGTTTAAACCCACCAGCCACTTCTGGAGAGAAAGGTGAGGCTTTCTGCTGCGGTGAAGATTTACAGCCTTGGAAACCCTATCTGGTCACTATGAGTTGGACTTGACTGGAGGGTAGTGGGTAGGGTTTGGGCTATTAAGTTTTGTTTAACGCAAGATTAAAATGTACCCAGGGCTAGTCAGAGAAAGGACAGTCAGTCCCCAGATTAAAAACATCTTGATTTACAGACAACTCCAACTTGGAACACGTCCTTTAATGCTATGTAAATTTGCCCTCACTTTAAAATGATTGAAAGAAATCCTCCAAACCCCAAACCAGTAGAGCTGGTTCCGACTCATAGGGACCCGTTGTCGTCGTCGTTGTTGTTAAGTGCGGTCCTTAAGTGTTATTGTTAAGTCTGGATTCATGGTGGTGGCTGTGTGCCGTGGAGTCGGTTTCGACTCATAGTGACCCTGTCCAGGGTTTCCGAGGCTGTAAAGCTTTACGGGAGCAGAACGCCTCATCTTTCTCCTGTGGAACTGCTGGTAGTTTCGAACTGCTGACCTTGCGGTTCGCTGGCCGATTCATAACCACTACGCTACCAGAGCTCCTGAAGTGTGGATTCATAGCGACCCTATATAGGGTTTCCAAGTAGCAGCTAATGAATTTGAAACACCGACCTTGCAGTTCAAACCACCCTTGTGGTCCAGTGCTCATGCTACAGCGCCACAGCAAAATGGTCCCATAGGGTTTCCAAGGTGGTAAACCTCTCGAGAAGCATCCCTTTAGGTTAAGTACTTATGCTTAAGCACTTGTGCCACTCCTACTCCTAGCATTAAAACAAACAAACCTATTATGAGTTTCAATTCAAAGTGACCCTATTGTTAAGTGCCGTGGAGTCGGTTCCAATTTATAGAGACCCAGTATAAGGTTTCCTAGGAGCATCTGGTGACTGAACCTCTGACCATGTGATTTAGACCGAAGGTCGAGTACTTTATTCTATGGTGCCACAGAACAGAGTAAACTTGTTCCATAGGGTTTCGGAGGCTATACATCTTTTTGGAAACCGACTACCATATCATTCTCCTGTGGAACAGCTGGTGGGTTTGAACTGCTTAGCTTTTGATTAGTAGCCCAACACTTAACTCACTGTGCCACCAGGGGTCCTTCTTGCACTAATTGTTGTTTGGTTTCTATGTGTCCAATTAGTATCAACTCCATATAGGGTTTCCAAGAAGCGGCTAGTGGGCTTGAGCCGCTGGCCTTGATAATCAAACCAACTGTGTGTTCCAGGACTCCAAAGTAAGGCTAAATATAAGACCCCTATTCACCTGTTCCAAATTACCTACAAACCATTGGGAATGGATGTCTTTTGTAAGCCTGGGACTGATGGTACAACGTTTAACAAAATCTGAAAAGATTTGCTATTAATGGTTAATATATAACCCTCCGAAGTCTCTGACATACCTAGTTAGGTATGTGAAATGAGACTGTGAAGTTGATGGTGGAAATTCCCCGAATTTCCCTGACAAAACTGGATTAGCTCCCTCTTCAGCTCCCAATCAAATCACCCAAACCCAAACCCTGCTCAAGGGTACAAGTCACACTTTTCCAACCAGTTCACAAACGACTTTCCGGAGGGAGGTTTCCCGCCATTTCAGTTAATAGAAAGTCTTTTTTTCCCCTAGATCTTCATACACGTGAGAGGTTCGGGTCCACACCGTTTTTTTCTCAAGGAGAACAGCGAAAGGGACGCGAAGGGAAAGGGAGATCGATAGCGTTAATATCCCATGGACTAAACCGGAAAGTGTTAACCGTTCAGGATCTGCGGAAAAACCGGCGGGAGAAAAGCGCGCAACTACGGGCAAATGAATGAGATTGTGCGCGGGCCCAAAACCCGCGGTGGGAGGTCCTTGTGCAGCCGTTGCTTGGAGGAGCGAAGGTTGGGGGCGGAGGGCGGGTTCGCTGTAACTCAACTCCGATTGGTCCGATCCTGCAAGCCGAGTGACGACATCCAGGGAGAACGCCTGATTTGTGTGGTGGGAGCGGGCTGGCGGAGGAAGCGCAGTGCGCAAGCGCAGTATTCGGCTCTTCTCTCCCTAGCGCTACGGCCCAGCTCTCGCGGACAAGTCCCGACATCGCTCGCCCTCCCCCTCCAGGACCGCCCCCTCCCCCCTCTCGGCGTCGTCGAAGATAAACAATAGTTGGCCGGCGATCGCTGAGTGTGTCTCCCGCCGCCGGATTCGGCGCGCTGCGTGGGACCAGCGGGATCCGGGCCAGCGGGCCATGGCGGGGTTGTACTCGCTGGGAGTGAGCGTCTTCTCCGACCAGGGCGGGAGGAAGTACATGGAGGACGTTACTCAGATCGTTGTGGAGCCTGAGCCGACAGCCGAAGAAAAGCTGTCTCCCTGGCGATCGCCTCCGCAGCCGTCACCAGCGCCGCCGGCGCTCCCTGGCAGAGAAGTCTCGGGGAGAGGCCCAGCGGTGGCAACCCGGGAAACCTGCGATCCTCCCCCGGACCCCGGGGCCTCGCCGGTTCCCAGCCGCTGCTGCCGCCGCCGGTCCTCTGTGGCATTTTTCGCTGTGTGCGACGGACACGGAGGGCGGGAGGCGGCACAGTTTGCCAGGGAACACTTGTGGGGTTTTATTAAGAAACAGAAGGGATTCACCTCTTCGGAGCCGGCGAAGGTTTGCGCTGCCATCCGCAAAGGCTTCCTTGCTTGTCATCTCGCCATGTGGAAGAAACTGGGTAAGTTTCATGGCTTGGTTGGCGCCCGTCTCTTTTTTAAGCAGTTTAGGGCTTTTAGCACCAGCCGGATTCGCCTAGGTCCCCGGCACGTAAGTGCACCTTCAAAGTGTGCGTTTATTCAAGTGAAGACTCTTCTCGGTTGAGTTGTGCTTTTCAAGGTGAAGAACGGAGCAAACAAATTGGCCTTGGAAAGATAGGATTGCTGTCCCGCTGCCACCGATTCTCGCTTTATTTGTGCTCTCCAAGGATGAATGGGAAGCCGTCTTCCCCCTTCGCCGTTTCACTTTGTTGGCAGCCAGCGAAAAAGTGTAGGAACCTGACAAAGGCTTTGTCCAAAAGATAAATCGAAGGCACGTTGCTACCCTGGGCTCCGCAAAGGAAGCGGGAGATGGCAAACATTAGAATGTTTTCCCACAATCTGTCATTTTGCTCGTGAAGGACTTGTCCCTCTGGGTTGCCTCCTACCGGTGACGTCAGTTCTCCAAATTGGCCCTGGGCGGCTGGTAGTCGGAGTAACCACAACCCCAAACCCTTGCCGAGTTGAGTGTAAGCTAATTTAGAAGAGCTGAAATGTACTCATCCGAACAACTGAAAGCCCTTGCAAATAATTGTGGTGGTGATCCTAAGTTGTATTTAAGATCTTTGCTCGTACTGCATGTGAAAAAGAAAAGTGGGGGAACGTGTTATCTCTTAAAACTATCCCCACGTGAGGGTGTATGTTCAATTAATTTAGGGCTTTTTAAAAGTACAATTTTTTTTTTTTTAATTTTGTAGTTGCTTTAGCGAACAGCTGCCCGATAGTTTTAAACAATTCCTAGTTAAAATAGTTTGTTATGATTGCCCATCAACGTAGCAAAAGGTAAGGAATTACTAAAATGCTAAAAGGAAATAAACTCCTTGCCGTTGAGGGTTCCGTAGACTAAATCTTTACGAAAGAAGAAAGTCACATCTTTCTCTCGCAGAGTGGTTAGTGGGTGTGAACTGCTGACCTTCTGGTTCAGTCTAGTGCCAGTGCGACAGCACCACTAGGACTCTTTCAAAAGGAAATAGAGGGCTTAATTTCTCGAAATTCGGTGTAGGATTTCCAGTGTAGCTATTGTTTCATCAAAAATGTGCTTTCTAAAGCAGCCAGTGTTTCTGTACCTAACATATGTTATACAGGACTATAGTTGCTTAACCATTTCCGTGGATAATTGGCATGCACATTTTAATAGAAAAAAGGAGATATACGCTCTAACATTAAGACAGAAAACAAAACTCATGTTTATCATAGCATACTAATGTTTAATTCCCTGCAAAGGGACAGAGACATCGAAAAAGGAGTGTCAAAGATTTCGCAAATGCAGCGCACTTTTGAAAAGGTATTGTCATCGAATTATAGACCAGCTTCTTTCAAAGCCTGTTTTCCATCTGTTTGATTGACTCATAAACCATCCAGTCAGTTTGTTGTTGGAGGCGTTTCCCATCCAATCACAGAGTCCACTTTTATGGATTTGTTTTGTTTTTGTATAGGCAGGATAGAGCTGAAAGCACTGCAGTATATTCTAGAAATCGATCACATTATAGACTGCTGGGCAATTAGAAATAGACAACAAGGCAATGAGATAGAGGATGATTAGAAGCAAAGAACTATTTTGTAGTTCACTCGCAGCCAGGTGTGAACTGTGAAGATAGAAAAATTGCAAACGCTTCTAGCTAATTGATGTTTTTGAAAAGTTATGTATAAACCCTGTTACTCAGATATAAGCATTTAAACATAAAGCTGGGGCTATGATGCTAAATGTAGATGTGTGTATTTTTTATATATGCTTTCGAAATCAAATCCATAGTTTAGAACCTTAGAAACCAGACAGATGTTAAAAAGTTGGTTTTGTACCACAGCTAAATATTGGCCTTCATTCTCAAAATCTGAATAAACCAAACTCAACTTTAAACATGGTTTAAGTTTAATAACAACAAAAGGTGTATGTTGAGTATATGAACGTCTTGACACAAGAAATATAATTAAAATTTTTATTTGATTTTAGTACAGAATACATGGGTAGCTCTTTATTTTCTATGAAATAAACATAAATTTTCAGTTTGTAATTCAGAGGCCAAGTTTTCCTCTGCCCAACTTCAGCTTCCATCTTCTGTTGCCTACATTTCTAATATTTCTACTCACCTTTTTCTAGGACACATTGAAATGCTCCGTTTCCCCAGATTCCTATCCTCTCCCTTCCCCCCAAAGGGAAGAAAACTCAAAAATATACTCATAAAATATACATATATATGTATATTCATCATATAGTCTCTAAATCAACATGTTTTCTTTTATGAGGATTTCTGTTTCCCTTGGAATTGAACATAGATTGTATATTCTTTTGTAATTCTCCCTGGATTATAGCAGTAGTTCTGCAGTGATACTTAGCAACAACATATTTATCAATAGTTAAAATTTGTGAAGTTACATCTAAGAATTACAGAAATACTTTTTAATCAATTTTAAAACAGTAAGAAACTTGTTATGTTTTTACTCTTTCCCAAAGTTAGAAGTATTGGTGAAAAGAGTGACAGTGTTTTTGTTTTTGTAAATCTAATGGATGTATTGCTTAATAGACAACAGCTGGGTCCTCATAGCTGCTCTCTGTATTTCGTCTGTTATGCATGTTTAATTGAAGTACATGAAGAAAATGTCTTACATAGATATGTAGGAAAAGGAAGGAATGTTTTGTTAGTATTTTCAGATAATTTTGGATATTGGAAGCCAAAGTGGTAGTTTCTGAAGGCTAGCTGTAATGCAATGTGAAACCTTATCCTTGAACTTTTTGTACATTTAAGATCTATTGGTCTGTGTCGGACTTTGAAGTCTTTTACATATGTATGATTTTGTAACAGTGTACATTAATCATTTGGAAAATAATGGTTCACTGAGTTGTGCAGATCTTCCAAATACTGATGCATTTTATTATACAATATCAAAAATCATACTTATTAATGTCACTGATCTTATCAGAAAAGTCTTGAAGTATGGATAAGCTATTGAATTCACTGCAGTAAATAATTCATTTTCCAAAATGTGAGTTTTTAAGCAACAATTAGAATCCTATCTCTGGCAGCAAATAGTGTCAGTTTTTATTCTTGAAGTAAAAAGCTCACTTTGCTTATTTTTAAGGAAATGTAATGCCAAAAATTCAAAAAAATGCACATTTAATCAACAGTTTGTCAGTCTTACAGGTAAAAATGGTGGCTCATGAAAAATGTGGCAATCAGTATTTTTCCTTTGGACAGTCATAATATACATCAGAAGCCTGCAGTGCCTGCCATTCAGGACACTAGTTTATTTGTGGATTGAAATTAAATAAATTTACTCTTTATTGCATCATCAAGGACATTGTTAAGTGAAATTGACTTGTATTTGTTTTAAGAACTATGAAGAATACAATGACTGCTAGTTCGTGGACACTCCCTTTACTTCTGCTAAGTAAGGCACCAGCTGTTTTGTCCTTAACTCCTTTGTACCATTTATATCCATACAAATACCAGCACAGTGAAAAGGACAAATGATGTCTTAGAATTATTATGAAAACAGTTTTGACCTTGTAGAATTCTTGTAAAGATTTCATAAGGAGAAAACCACTGTGTAATAGAATCTGCCTTTCAGTTAAATCATAATATCCTTGGGAGGGCTAAGGTACTGCTTTACTCATAATCAATCCTCTAATTGATTTGAACACACAGTGCCTTGCCCAGAGTAGCTGCTCAAGAACCAGGTGAGTTTTGTTAAATTTCTGTGAGTGTGCAGAAGCTAAGTAAATTGACTTTTTGTTTTAAAAGAATTTTCTCTGCCCTCTGAAACATCTTTTGATTTCTTTAATTAGAATTAAGTCTGCCTTTTAGAGTTTTATACTGCTTGTATATCCCTCCCAATTTTACAAAGGTAAACATTTGTTAAATGACTTTGTCTTGAGGTAAGGAATTTGATGAATACAGCATGGAATGACCGAATATATGCATTTATCTCTTTTTTTAAAGGTAACTTTAATTACTTGTTGAACATAAACTATAGTATGAACCTGGTTTTCCACATGTATAAGTCACATGTATAGATTTACTGTTCTTTATGGTTTGCCTTTAACATTTGTATGGAATTTTTTTTGGATTCCTTAACTTGACATAATGTTATTACTCTTTATTTCCGTAGTTAAAAGAAGGTAGTGAGTTCAAAGAATAAAGTGCAGCCTTTATTAATTGGGTGCCATAGTCCATTGAAGATGCTATCAAGAGACCCAGTAGATAACATACTGTTGAAGTTAATAAAATGTGGTCGCTGATGTAATTACTAGGAATTTGCCACAGTATTTGTAATGAAAGATGTAAAATGGAAGTCTTGTTAATTTGGCTAAAGATCAGATTACTTAACGTGTATGACCAAAAGAATTAGGAAGAAGCTAATTTTAGCTTAAATTTGGTTTTTAGGTTTGGCAGATAGTTTTCACTACCTTAAATTTAAAATTGGAGGGAGAGGAGGAAAAGTTAAAGACAAATCATAAAATTGTAGAATTTTAAACCTCTACTTATTTTTTTTTTCCAGTTTTTATTGTGAATTAAGTGGTAGTTTACATGGGAGAACATCAGTTTTCTACTCATCGTTTCATTGCAATGATTACAGTCCCCTCAGTGCATCAGCATTCAACAGTTTTTGCTTGTATTCTTCTTACTTAATTTAAGGACCTGTGCTCTCCATTAGATGTTGAACAGCTTAAATCCCACAACTGTTCCAGGGAGGATTGCTCTTTTAAAATATGTAGTCTCAGAAACCCTCTATAGGGTCTTTATGAGTTGGAATCAACTTATTGCAGTGGGTTTTTTGGTGTGTTTTTTCACTTTAGTTTTGTTTGATGATTTCTGTATTTTTGTTCTTCTACTACCAAGTTTCTGTGAGCTCTGGTAGCGTAGTGGTTACGAATCGGGCTGCGATCCGCAAAAGGTCAGCAGTTCAAAACTACCAGCTATTTCGT